GTGCTTTAGGAAGATTGAGTCCATTAACGCTAATGGGTAAAAGACTGGTTTGCCTATTTGTGTGTGTGTGTGTGTGTGTGTGTGTGTGTGTGTGTGTGTGTGTGTCATGTGATATTGAAACACCCACCATCAGGGCATGTAGAAGTAACTGTTTTTTTTAATTGCATGAAGGTTACAGTTGGTAGAGTTAGATAATAATAATATTCAAAAACAAAACCAAGTGGCCAGTGCGATGTATTACTAGGTAAAAGTGTGAATGAAACCACCAAAACTGATGACCTAAGATCAATCCCTGGGACTCACATCATGAAAAGAGAAAACAGACTCCCACAAGTTGTACGCACACACACACACACAGAGAGAGAGAGACAGAGACAGAGAGGAGATAGAATAAATAACTTAATGAAAGAAAAAGAACTTTGAGCTTATGAAGTAGTAAAACTATACAGAAAAGAAACTATGAGAATACAACACGTTGTGTGGCCCGCTTGACACTTGGAAGGTGCCAGTTAAGGTTAAACACAACCGTAGATGAGCAGACAGTTTTACGCACATGAATGGTGAGAGTGTTTTATGCTGTCAGGGGAACTCTGAGAAAGCAGTTGATTCAGCTGTGAAGAACAGAAGCCGAATGGGAAGCCCAAAGAACAGTGGGCAAAGAAAACAGAGGGATGTCATGGGATGGCCAGATGATGACCAGGGAGACTGGAGCCCTGGAGGGTGCTCCTAAGTGAGAAAAGGAGCCACCTGGAGACGAGAAGAGGAACTTTGGTCTGATTGCTTCTTCAGAAGATCTACAGTGGAAGTAGAGAAACAGAAGACACTTGTAGGGTCTGCATAAAGAACAATTGTAAGACGGAAGGGGGGCAGTTATGTGAACCTGTTAATTACACGTTAGATGGAAGGCACTCTGGAGCTGAAGATGAAGGAAAAATAGGAATCAGGACTTCCTGGGTGGATGATGATATTGTTTTTCTCGTCAAGTCTGAAGAGAACAGGTTTGGCTGAAGGGCTAAAGTCACTGGGCTGCTGAAATTGTCACTTCTGTTGGGACATGGCAATGGAGCTGCAAACCACACATCAACCATTGGAAATGGAAGTAGGGAAGGTAAACGCTATGTACCCCAGCTCAGGAAGGCAGGGGCTGCTGCTCTACACCTCTCAGGAAAGGACTGGTATATAGACTGGTGTATAGATGCTGTGTATATCATGAAACTGTCCCCAGGGAATTATGAGAAGAGAAGGGACAAGGCTGAGGACCAAGCTGTGGCTCACTCCATCAGTCCAAGATTAGAAGAGACTGTCTGGAAGCTTCTTCCTTCATCTAGGACAATGACTTAGAAAAGGGGCCTTTCTCAGAACTTCTACAACTCACAAACCCTTTCAGTATCATAAACACTTTCAGTAATGTAGCAGGATACAAGACTAACTCAAAAAAAAATCAGTAGCCCTCCTTTACACAGACGATAAATGGACTGAGAAAGAAATCAGAGAAACATCACCTTTCATAAAAGCCCCCAAATAGCATAAAATATCTTGGAGTAACTCTAACCAAACAAGTGGAGGACCTGTACGACAAGAACTTTAAATCTTTGAAGAAAGAAATTGAAGAAGACACCAGAAAGTAGAAAGATCTCCCATGCTCTTGGGTAGGAAGAATTAACATAGTAAAAATGGCAATCTTACCAAAAGCAATCTACAGATTCAACGCAATGCCAGCAAAATTCTTCACAGACCTTAAAAGAATGATACTAAATTTCATATGGAAAAGCAACAAACTCAGGATAGCCAAAACAATCCTATACAACAAAGGAACTTCTGGAGACATCACAATCTCTGACTTCAAATTCCACTTAGAGCTACAGTACTGAAAACATCTTGGTATTGTCATCAAAACAGACAGGAAGACCAATGGAACTGATTTGAAGACTCAAGATATTAATCCACACAACTATGAATACCTGTTTTTTTTTTTTACAAAGAAGCAAAAACTATAAAATGGAAAAAAGAAAGCATATTTAACAAATGGTGCTGGCATAACTGTATGTCAACATGTAGAAGAATGAAAGTTGATCCATATCTATTGCCATGCACAAAACTCAAGTTCAAAAGGATCAAAGACCTCAACATAAAACCAACCACCCTGAACTTCACAGAAAAGAAAGTGAGAAGTACACTTGAATGCATTGGCACAGGGAACCACTTCCTAAATATAACCCTAGCAGCACAGACACTGAGAGAAACAATTAATAAATGGGACCTCCTGAAACTGAAAGGCTTCTGTAAAGCAAAGACACAGTCAACAAGACAAAACAGCAGCCTACAGAATGGGAAAAGATCTTTGCCAACTCCACATCAGAGGTCTGACCTCCAAAATATACAAAGTACTCAAGAAAATGGTCATCAAAAGAACAAATAATTCAATAAAAAATGAAGTACAGATCTAAACAGAGAACTCTCAACAGAGGAATATAAAATGGCTGAAAGACACTTAAGGAAATGTTCAACATCCTTAGTCATCAGAGGAATGCAAATCAAAACAACTCTGAGATTCCATCTTACACCTGTAAGAATGGCAAGATCAAAAATACTGATGACATCTTATGTTGAAGAGGATGTGAGTTAAAGGGAATACTCTTTTATTTCTGGTGTGAGTGCAAGCTGTTACAGCCCCTTTGGATATCAATATGGCAATTTCTCAGAAAATTAGGAAACAACCTTCCTCAAGATCCAACAATATCACTTTTGGGTATATACTCAAAGGATGCTCAGTCATACCACAAGGACTTGTGCTCACCTATGTTCATAGCAGCAATATTTTTCATAATCAGAACCTGGAAACAACCTAAATGCTCCTCAACCGAAAAATGGATGGGAAAAATGTGGTACATTTACACAGTGGAGTACTACACAGCAGAAAAAATAATGACATCTTGTAATTTGCAGGCAAATGAATGGATCTAAAAAACATCATATTGAGTGAGGTAACCCAGACTCATAAAGACAAATATCATATGTACTCACTCATAAATGGTTTTTAGACATAAAGCAAAGAAAACCAGCTTACAAATCACAGTCCCAGAGAATCTAGACAATAACAAGGACCCTAAGAGAGACATACATAGACCTAATCTACATGGGAAATAGAAATAGACAAGATCTCCTGAGTAAATTGGGAACATGGGGACCTTGGGAGAGAATTGAAGGGGAGAGGAAGGGAGTGGAGCAGAGAAAACTGTAGAGCTCAATAACATTAATAAAAAAAGAAAAAAAACTGAAAAGAGGCCTTGCTCTGCTGCCAGGTGTAGCTTTCAAGCACTAGGAAGAGTGGGAACTCTGATGAGGAGCTCACCTCTTCCCCTGCCCCGCCAGCACAGTAATGAGCTCTTGGCACCTGCTAGTGTGATGAGAGAAAAGTCCATTCATCCCCAAAGCCACAAACTTTCTCCCATATATTTGGAACAATACGGTAAACGGTATTGTCAACGAGGCCTGTGGGCATTCAATCCTGCCCCAGGGCTAGAAGAACAGCACAGGGGAAGCTTTCAGTTGTGATCTGGCCGTCACAGAGTCTAAGTATCAGAGTCTTTGGGAGAAAGAGAAAGCAGTCCATCAGACAGTAGGCAGTAACCCTTCAGCTTTAGAAGTGTCAAGACATCAGCTGGGTTTACGGCCCGTGCTGACTAAGGGCAGGTTGACATGGAGAACATACATTTTACTTTTGTCTTAATTTTGTCTGCTTGTGGCAATCACGTGTTGTGTTCCAGAAACAATAGCATCATTTCCCCCCTTTTAGGTGTCCGGGATACAATAAAACAGATGAGAGAATCAATGTGAGGGGTACAGTCAGATGGTATAGTCATTTAGCATCTTTAATTACATAGTTTTTTGTGTATAGACATACACACATATATTCTGAAACTTCCTATGAATATCTTATTTAGGGAGAACAATGTACAGCTAATATTGTAATAAATCATAGGCAATTTCATCATACTACAGCAAAGAAGGCTGCATCCCAATGGGAAGAATTTCTGGCAGAGCAGAAAAACCATTACAACTAATGGTTTTGTTGTATTCTTTTAATAAGGAGTCAATTGCTGTGGTCCAGTTTTCTTTTTATGGTATAAGGTGTAGTTGCAGTTTATCAAAGCCACAGGTAAGCCAGCAGTGCTATGATCCCTTCTCTCCTTTGGCTGGTGGCTGGTCTCAGAACTGAGTTAGTCTGTCATGTGACTGAGCCCATGATCAAAGGGCAGTCTCAAGCCCCATGTCTTATGTCAACAGGATGGGGAATTTGAGAAGGAAGGGGCAAAACCTGGCATATGAGAAGAAAAAACTGGAGTTTGTCACAATCAGGAAACTAAAACCAACAGCAGCAGTAGAAGCACAACCTTTTCTTCTTCCTATACCCAAAGAGCTGAGCACTGCTCCGGCCTTCTCAGAGAAGCTTCCTGTCATAGATGAAATCACAAAGTGATTTAAGACTGGACAATGCGAAGTGAGTGAGTGAGAGACTTTTGAACACTCAGCACTAAATTGATCAAATCCTTCCTTTCAAGGTGCAGGGATCTATGTGAAAGAGGAGGTAGAAAGACTATAAGAGCCAGAGGTGGTGGATGATACCAAGGAAAAGGATCTTCCAGACCGAGCAGGACTGATACACATGAGAGCTCATGGAGACTGTGCCAGCACACACAAGACCTGCACAGGTTCCAACCAGACACAATTTCAGCACCGAGGAAGGGGACAGTGACACAAAGCCCCAACCCTACCCAAGATGTTATTTGGAACTGATACTTGCTGGGAAATAGAAAATCAGTTTTTTTTTTCCCCAAAGGAGTGTCAATGGGTATATCATCCACACCCCATGCCCAGGAGTAGCTGACCAACACGAAACGAACTCAAATGTGTGTGTGTGTGTGTGTATGTGTGTGTGTGTGTGTGTGTGTGTGTGTGCGTGCTTTTTAGTTTTGGAAGTACCATAATTCATCCTTTACCTGGCACTGAGGTTCCAAGAGCGACAAACACAACTGCAGTCACGGAGTCTTTCAGGCCAATGGTGCAGCCAAAGTGGGAAGCCAGATCTCCGATGAAGGCTGTCAGGAGGCCAATCATGAGGATGGAGACGATGAAGCAGGCCCAGCCATTCCAGTATTCTGTAGGGGGCACGAAGGCAAACAGAACCTTCCAGAACACTGTGAGAAAGTGCATCACGTAATCAAAACAGGAAGGCAGCTTCTCCTCCCCACATTCATCGTCGTCGTCATCTTCCCCTAGAAAAGAAAATAAAGAAAAACATATTTCATTAAGACCCAGCTTCTAGGGATTTCTTCCATTCCCTTCATCTCCTTCTAGACTGTTGTCACACTCCTCTGAGCAACAGCAGGCCATCAGAGGTCACTGATGCTTAGGGCTTTCTAAAAGTCAGCCATCATTTACCAATTATTGGTGGTGATATTTTGAAACCATTTCCCTGTGGCTAGGTGGTCAGGGGTAAAAGCTCACACAATCAGTATACCCTACATGCTGCTCAAATTACCTCCCAGTGGGATTTGCTATCAGGACAATGGAAAAGATTTCTTGCCAACATGGAAGGCTGAGAGAGAAGCCTTTCTGGAAGCTTGGACAAAACTCTACAACAGTTCTTCGCTTTGAGCTTAAAGTCTAATTGAAGATTGATAGTTGCGTGACTTCTACGGTGTGGCATTCAGTCAAGGCCCCTAAGTGCAGTACTGGGTCTTTTATTCCACTCTAGATTCACCTCCTTTAATGATTTCCAACCCTGTCTTAGCCTACTAGTATTATTGGCATTTTAAAACCATTGTCACATCCTCTGGCTTTAGAGCTAAGAGTGTGCCTCATATTCCTACCCCTTCATCATTCCCCTCCACCTGTCAGTTAAAATGTCTCTCACCCCTCTTCTGGCTGCCATGGTTCCACATACTCAGAACTTTGGATGAACGGTTCTTGGTGAGTTCCCTGAGCAACGGCACTTTGGAATGTACTAGAAATGCAAATTCTCAATTCATTGAATGTGACAAGAAATGTGGGCTTGGATTAAACCCTCCTTGAGAGTTGACTGCATATTCAACTTTGAAAGTTGCTGCCTTATCTAAAATTAGGCCTGTTCATTGTCCTCCCTTCTCCATTTGACGTGAGCCCTTTATACATTTTGTCTCTCTAGTATTTGGTTATCATTTCTATCACTTAGATGACTGTTTCGTATCCCTAGCATTTGGTGCCATCTCCATCACTTAGATGACTAAGCAGCTGCCAACTGAAGGAATGTGTGTGTAAATTTCTACTGATTTTACATCACTATGCAATTATGTAATATATGTATGTAGATTACAAGTACTCCAGGCTAGGAAGTTAATAACAATTACCTAACACATAGTTCATATAGGTGATGTAAGATTAGTATAAATACAAAACATATTAAGTAAAAATAACCCCATTCATGTGCTTTCAAATTATGGTAGTCAGTGTCACTTTTCTCACAGTGATAGAAAATACATGTTCATGGGTTTGAGGACGATTTTAAAAGAAACTTCTTTTTGAACATTTTGTTTACTTTCTCCAGCATCACCCAGAATTAACTTTACTTTGTTCCAACGAATGTGGTTGACAGCAGGTGGGGCTGGCAACTCTCCAGTTGATTGTATATTACGAGAACGCCAACACCAAGCAAGTGCCTGTACTCTTTGTGATATAGTCCAGAGTAAAGCCATCTTGGACAAAAGAAGTGTGGGAAACCCCTTAAACACACACCAGCTTGGAGCAGAGAGTGGGTATCACGAAACTTGGAAAGCCAGATTGCCTGGGTTTCTCCTGACCATACATGATTAGAGAGAAAGTGATGAACCACTCTTCCACAAGCACATGGCTGCAGTTATACATAAATAGTTTGATTGTAGAAAATGCAGCCTTGCCTTTGAGGCTTTGGGAGGTAGCCAATGAACTATTAGGAGAATGTTCCCATAAATGTACAGAATCACCTTTGGGGAATGCACAGGAGAAGAACTTGAGTCTAGTGGATTGACAGAAAATTCTGGGACTGAAAAGGCATTGTTGAACTCCCAGGTTCATACTGTAGGAGTGAGAACATGTTTTTAGTAGCCTTTTTCTGAAAATACAAACTGCTTTTTAAATAAAAGTGTCTGAAATGGGTTACATTCTACTCCTCCCTCCCAATCAATGCTTCGAAGCCCTAACCACCAACTCCTAGAATGTGATCTTATTGAGAGATAGTGCCTTTGATCAGTAATGTGAGACAATGTGCCAGAAAGACATTGAATCTGGGTATGGGGGCCCAGTCCTGATGTTCATCCTTTGAGAGGCAGAGGCAGGAGTCAGAGTTTGAGGACAGCTGAGCTACAGTGAGACTTTATTGCAAGTACATGTATATGTGCAAGCCAAGGGACTGCTTGGGAGAACCAAGCCGACTTACACCTTGATGCACAGAGAATAAGTTTCTTCTGTTTAAGCATCAATTTGCGGCAGTTTATTAAGGCAGCCTTGGTCAACCAACAGCAGCTCTTCGGAATCCTCCTCTTGTCACCCCTTAAAGTCGGGTTACATATCAACATATCACACTGTAGCCACAACTATACACAAATGCTGCATGCCACTTAAAAACAAACACTGCCCATGCATTTAGGAGAGTTCCCTGCTTCTTTACTTCTTTATCCTTTTGCTCCTTAACACCCCCACTTCTCTTTACCCTGTTTTTGCTCCGGATAAAACTGTGAAAGCTTCAGTTTTTATAGTTAATTTTGAGGAGGGAGGGAGACAAGAGCCATGTTAGTTTTGTGCCTGACTTGTCCTTCCCACTTTCTGTAAGCATGTCCACCTGTAAGTTCTACAAAAGCACCGCAATTTCCGGTTATATTTATTTTTATCAGACCGTTCATTTAACTTCCATATTTTAGGGCACTTTGTAATTTCTCACGATATATGACGAAAATGTTTGGTAAACACTGAGCTTCTATCAGTCATCTACAGAAGCAAAGAACATTCTGCCTCTGCAAAGTTATTTATTTTGGGAATGATTAAGTCTCAAAGTTTAAAGATGAAGCAGAAAGCAAAGAATGAAACTTCTCAAAAGAAATGACACATATTAATCAGGAGTAAATATTATATTTATTTTGAAAGTGGAAATAATAACCCCTTTCCCAGGAGGGCTGTTTAGGGGAATAATTAGACAAATTGTATCAGGTTCCTGAGGATGCTTCAAGCTAATGATTATCATGTTGCTTATTATTATATCCTTCTGCTCAGGCATACAGCTGTGCTTTCCCATCATTATTTCATTGCACAGTTAACATGCTGCTTCCTAAGGTTATAGTCTACAAGCTGTAAACAAAATAGCATAAAGCACAGGGTGTAGTGGTGCACTCCTTTAATCTCAGGAAGCAGAGGCAGGTGGATCTCTGAGTTTGAGGCCTAGCTGGAGCTATGTAAACAAGACACTGTCTCAAAAACAAAGACCAAAGCATAAAATATGTACGTGTGTGTGTGTGTGTGTGTGTGTGTGTGTGTGTGAGAGAGAGAGAGAGAGAGAGAGAGAGAGAGAGAGAATATTCCTTAGCCTTCCAGTATTACAGAGAATCTTAAATATTGTTTGAATCTGATGGAAAATCTGCATGTATCTTACAACGTTTTAAAGTAGAACTGTGTGTTCATTCTTTTTTCCTTGGGATCTCACTGAACTTTATAAATTTTAAGGATTAGCTGACAAGTCACGTAACTATTAAAAATGACCACTGGCTGCCATGCATGCTGCACAATTATCCTGTCTTGGGGAAGGACAGGCGAGTATTAAGAGTGTCCATCACCAGCTGAACTATCCTTAAGAGTCTGTTTCTCACGAAGAGCAATGGAGCATTAGCCCTCTTCTTGATAACTTGGGAGCATCTTTTACTCCACAACAGGAAGGACAGCCATCTGCTGGTTCTGTAGCTTGTCAGTGCAGGATTGCCTGGGGCTGCTCATCCTTTCACATCCCTCCTCTGGGCTGGCATGGAGATAGACAAGTTGGTGGGGTTGCTTTTATAGGCTCTCAGTTAAATCCCTCTTATCGCGGAATCCTTCTTTTCAGCTTTATAGATTCCACTAATGGAAAGATAAACCATCTGTATCCCATTAATCCCTCTTGGAGCCTTAGCAATGGCTTCCCTGATACACGTTGGCTTCCATAAATATAGCCATAAAAATAGCCAAATCATTAAATGTGCAGGTATTGGAGACGGCTTCACTTCAACTTCCCTGGAGCTCAGAACAAGGGTATCATGGGCTCAGTGGACCATGGGAACTGGGCATGAGGCTTGCCACCAGCTGATACCTTATCTTCTACAGTAAGCACATGTTTGTTGACATCCCTCCATAGACGTGGCCCTCAAGGAGTGCGTTGGGAACCAGAAAAAGAAGCCACTGGGATGAGCTGCACGTGAGTCAGAAATACTGCAGACCGATTTCCGCTTCTTGGGAAGACACTTGTATTTCCCAAGCTTCAGACCCATGTCTGTCAAATGAGTTTGCTATCTGCCACATCACAGTGCTGCTTTGAAAACCGAGAGAGGAAAGATCTGGGTCCTCTGTAAAAGCATGGATCCTTCACAGACCTGTGCTATAGCCCAGAATTGTTGTTTGCTGACCAGAAGGCAATAAATCAATCCAGCCCCAGCAGTCTGATGTCAATTATCTGTGTACAGTTCAAGCGAACCATCATCACCACTATTTCCCGAAACTGATTTTTTTTAAAGAGGAGTGGGGAGAAGGGATATGAGGAGGTGCCTAGCTAGAGACAGATACCGAGCCAAAAACAAAAGTCTTTTCCCATTCTGACCTTATATTGACTTTACAGTAGCACTTTAAGGTGGGCATCATTATTCTTATCCTATATAGGAAGAATCTCAGAGTTGGGAAATTTAAATTTGTATTTTACAGTAATCGTTCGTAGGTCAGTTGAGTAAGTAGCTAAGTTGTGATTTTATCTAACTGCCTGAAGGAGCATTATTCCTACATGATGGCCTATTGAAGCAACTAGGTTTAGCATCAATTACATACAGATTCTACCCTTCCATTGCCTTGTGCTAGCTATATACAATGCTGTGCCTTCTATGAATATGAAAATACTGGCCCACACAATCAATAACATTTGAATTCTAGTATTTTCAGACATCATTTTTATTTACCGAGTCAGATGTATGCTATTCTTTATATCTTTGAGGACCATGCACACAGGGAAACAAGCAAGGAAGGGATCATAGTG